TGGGATGGATCCCAGGAGGAAAAACCTGAATTCAGGATTTTTTTTTCATAACCAAAGCAAAGCAGGAGAGTCCCTGGCAAAGACATCCGCTGAAAGCTTGCCGTCTCTTCGGCGTTTGATATTTATTATATCATTATTTATTTGCTGTGTGCCTGGGGTGGGAGGGGGCTGAGCCATCCGAGTTCCTCTTGTTGAAATGTCCTTGGCAGTCATGAGGCTTGGAAAATGGTGGTGGATGGACATTCCAGCTGGGATGCAGCGTTGTATAACAAATATATATATAAAGAGTGTTTATATAATAGTTTTATATGTGTGTGTTTGTATATTTATATATAGAAAGAGTTTTAAAATATATAAAAATATCTATAAAACACCCTCTTTCACTACCTCTTTGCCCCTCTCCAGGCTGCAGAGCCAAGAGTTTGGAGAAGAGCTGGTTTTTCCCTGATTTCTCCGGGTGTGAGCGTTTGCAGGGGCTCTCCAGGGCCGTCGGGACCATGGGAGCCTGACAACCCCGTTGGTTGGACGAGTTGGTTGTGGAGCAGAAATTTATATAAAAATATCTATAAAACACCCTCTTTCACTACCTCTTTGCCCCTCTCCAGGCTGCAGAGCCAAGAGTTTGGAGAAGAGCTGGTTTTTCCCTGATTTCTCCGGGTGTGAGCGTTTGCAGGGGCTCTCCAGGGCCGTCGGGACCATGGGAGCCTGACAACCCCGTTGGTTGGACGAGTTGGTTGTGGAGCAGAAATTCAGTGAAAATGAAAAATTTTGGCAGGGAGAGGGAAGGGGATTTTTTTTTTTGCTTGTTGAGAAAACAGAAAAAAACACCCATTTTTTTTATTATTTAAACATTTTCGTCTGTGTGTGCTTTTGCCTGTGGCTCTCAAGAAAAAAAAAAAGACAAACAAAACGTGTCTTGCTGGAATTCATGTGTTGATCAAGAGCTGCCATTTGTCCCAGAAAAAAAACAGGAGCTGACAAACTCTTGTTGGAGCAGGAGATGTGGGATAAACCGGCAGGTTGAACCCTCTCTCTCCGCCACTGTTCTCCACCGTGTCCATGGTCACATCCCACAATGATGGGGAAAGAGGGCGTTGATGTGGTCGGATCCATCTTCATCCCTGAATTGGGTGTTCAGCATGGAAAGCCAAAGGGAAGCAGAGGGAGAGTGGATATCCCACCTGCTTCTAATACAGGGCGCGGGATTTGGGGCGTGGGATATCCCTTGGATTTGGGATGCAGCTGGCAAACCCATCCTGGGGCTCAGGTATCCATCCCCAAGAGAGCTGATGAACGTCCAGGTGTGGTGTGCACCACGGGAAGAACATGTGAGCTAAATTAAACGTCCAGGAAACGCAGCCCGGGGAGCATTGGCAGGCGCAGCATTTCCCAGCCTGGGGATGCTGCTCCCTGATTTGAATTTGGCCAGGTAGTGCCTTTCCCCGGGATTTAAAATGGGCATTAAAAAAGCACGTAAGTCATCCTGGTGAATCCATCCTGGTGGGTTACCTGCTGATGTGAGTTGGAGCATGTGGCGTAATTCGGCAAATATTAGAGGATATTGTGGTTTATGTAATTATTATGTCATTTCTGTAGAAGCAGGGAGGTTTGGAATCCTAATTTTCTTCTGTTTAGGGGGTTAAATCTCAGCTGGTGCCCAAAATTGGCTTCCTGCATGGGGCAGATGTGCCCCTGAGGTCACCATCTGGTTCAGGCTCTGCTCTCCTGCGTGACATCTTTTCCACATGATTGTGGACAGCTGAGCCAGACTTTGGACCTCCTTGGTGGTCCGGTGGTCATGGTGCCTCCTACCCAGTACGAAGAGATGTCAGTGGGTGCTTGTATGACCTTGGCCTGTCCTTTCACTGAGCTTTGTCCTCCTTGGTTGAGTCTCCCAAACTCAAGTTGTTGGCAGAGCTTCTTGGTTGGTGTCTCCAAGCTGGGCCCAGTGGTAGAGCTTCTTGGTGTTTCAAAGCTGGGTCTGGTGGTAGATCTTTGTGGTTGGCACCTCCAAGCTGGGTCTGGTGGTGGATCTTTGTGGTTGGCACCTCCAAGCTGGATCTGGTGGTGGAGCTTTGTGGTTGGCACCTCCAAGCTGTGTCTGGTGGTGGAGATTTGTGATTGGCATCACTGACCTGGGATGCATGGCCAGGGATGGGTGGCATGGCCAGGTGGGTGTTTCCCTGGGGAAAGAGCCCTCTTAAACGATTTTATTTCCTTCCTCCCCACAGCTGATAGTCGAAAAAACGACTGACTACCCTTCGGCTGAGTACTCTCTGGTGGAGGATGTAGCCCTCCACTTCACGTGTTTGATGGACAGACTGAATGAGCAGCGCCTCTTTCAGCCGGACCTGTGCGACGTGGACATCGTGCTGGTGCAGCACAAGAGCATCTTCCCGGCGCACAAGGGGGTCCTGGCAGCCTACAGCCAGTTCTTCCACTCCCTCTTCACCCAAAACAAGCAGCTGCAGCGCGTGGAGCTCTCTCTGGAGGCCCTCACCTCGCAGGGCCTCCAGCAGATCCTCAACTTCATCTACACCTCCAAGCTCCTCGTCAACTCCTGCAATGTGCAGGACGTGCTGAACGCGGCCGCCGTGCTGCAGATGAACAACATCGCCTCCTCCTGCCAGGACCTCCTGGACACCCGTTCGCTCAGCCTGGCCGCCGACATGGCCCTGCCCGCCGAGGGCTGCGCCGGACCCCCGCCCTACTACTGCGAGATCAAGCAGGAGGTGGACTCCCCCCATCCGAAGATCTACGCCCGGGAGGGCAACGACCCCTACTCGGTGCGAGTGGAGGATGGAGCAGGTGGTGGGACGCTCCCCCCTGGTCCAGCCAAGCAGTACTACAAGGAGGAGAAGGATGGTGGTCCAGGTGCTGTCTGTAAGATGGAAGGCGAAGAGTCCGAGGAGGACCTGGACAGCCAGGGCTCGTACAACCGGGAGCAGATCATCGTGGAGGTGAACCTCAACAACCAGACCCTCAATGTCTCCAAGGGCATGGAGGGGAAGGCAGCCGCCAGCGAGGCGGCCGTGATGGGGCGGCCTGACGGTGACGGACGCGACACAGAGGAGGATGGGGAGGAGGAGAACGAGGAAGGAGAGGAGGAGGAGGAAGAGGAGGAGGATGCAGAGGTGGGCGAAGAGGAAGAGGAGGAACACAGTGAGGAGGAAGACCTGGAGGAGACGACGGAAGAAGAGGACGATGATGACGATGATGAAGACGCGTCAGAGGTGAAAAGGGAAAAGGGTGGGCAGACCCGCAGAGGCAGCCGGGCATCCAAAGCCACCAAACCTGCCATGGCGACCAGGTCCCAGGAGATGGCCAAGGCGGAAGAGGAGGAGGAGGAGGAGGAAGAGGAAGGCCAGCGAGGGAGGAAAAGGAAAAAGGAACAGGACGGTTTGGGCCAGAAGGTGAAGCTGGAGGAGAAGCAGCACTACCCATGCAAGAAGTGCCCCCGGGTCTTCAACAACCGCTGGTACCTGGAGAAGCACATGAACGTCACGCACAGCCGCATGCAGATCTGCGACAAGTGTGGCAAACGCTTCCTGCTCGAGAGCGAACTGCTGCTGCACCACCAGACCGACTGTGAGAAGAACATCCAGGTGAGCCAGCCCCGGAGACATCCCACCAGGGATGGACATCCCACCAAGGGGGGAACATCCCACCAATGAGTGGAGCATCCCGCTGGGGATGGGCGTCCCACCAAGGTGGAGACATCCCACCAAAGGAGGAGCGTCCCACCATCATGGGACATCCCAATAGGGGAGGGACATCCCACCCACCATGGAGGACATCCCACCCAGCTATGCCATGGGACGGGCTCGTGCTCAAATAATATTTTTGATGTGGTTGGCACATGGCAGACGGGAGGGAACCTTATTTCACCCGTGACTTGTATTCAGGCTCAGGAGGGTCCCACGGCGCCATGAGACCAGAGGATTTGTGCTGGGGGACTGTGGCTTCCCCTTGGCCAACTGGGTGGAAACACGGAGGAGCTTTGAGGAGTAATTTTGCTTTGAGTTTATTCAGTTAATCTGGATAAAACATTGCGAGCCCTTGATGGAGACACACTCCAGCCGTTCCCACCCAGGCTGAAACCAATTTAGCTTGATTCAAAGATGCGCTGACACCAGTTGAAATGGTTTTAATCTGCCTTTTGTGCTTTTTAGCTTGCGTATTAGCAAATTTCCGAATGGGTGTGACATCCGTGCGCGGCTGGGGCTTGCCGTGTCCTCCGCCTAATGCTAACGAGATCCCGCGTTTGCAAATCGACACCGTTTAATGGGTGCAATTTTGGGGGGGATACGTAGTCATCCCATCGGAGCAGCCAACACCTGCGTTCCTGCAGACCCCTCCAACCCGTCTCTTAGTCCCCGACGAGCTGTTTGGCACGACTAATTGGAAAAATACTTCTGGAGAGCTTCGCCCATCGTCCTGCACTGACCCTGTGGTGCATCTTCCTGAGAACTTCACAGTGCTGAGGTTGCTTTTTTTTTTTTTTGGATGCTTTTTCCCAGAATGGAGCAAGTGCAGCTCCGATACCTGCGTGGTGGTGGCTGTTTTGGTGTCTATCGTAAAGCCTGTCCAATTAAAAATGGGTTTTCCCAGTGCGTTTCTTCAGCCTCATCTGCTTTCCTGATGGATACATGGGGCTGTCACCTCGTTCCTTTTTTTGTTTTCCCCTCTTTTTATCCCTTTTCCAGGTCATTTCTGAATAGGATGAAGCACAACTGCCCGTGCAGTGACCTCCTCCCGTGGAAAACATGGATCATTACCTCTCAGTTGAGCGTTTTTAAATTTACAAATAGCCAAATTCACTCTGGTTGCTGTGATGGAGTGAATATTATAAATATGTCATGGAATTATAGCGGGATGGAAAAGGGATTTTTTTCAACTCCATACCTATAACGGACAGTCTTTATTTCTTGGTTTTTAAGCAGATCCATGGAGGGACCATCCCTCTTACCCGTTTGGTCTGCTGCTTTTTTTCCCTGTTTTGTTCCCAAATTTCATCCGTAATGCTTTAGGTGTAGGCTCCATCTCGCTCCCTGTGATCATCTCCCATCTCCACCCGCAGCCCTGTGGACACCATAACGGTCATCCTGCCTCTGCTGCCCAAAAAACGATTCGTCCAGATTGTTTCTCAAACTTTTCTTGTCCAGCTTCAGAATGATTTTCCTCTTAACCTACGAGAATTTCTCCTCATTTTTTTTCCCCTTGTTTGGATGTTACTTCCACGGTTTCGAGTGCTGCATTTTTGCGATGACTGAGGACGCAGAGCTCAGCCCTCCTGGTCCCAGCCCAGGGGCTTTCCTACATCTGCTGCTTTCCCTCCACCTTTAATTTTAAAATTCCCCTGAGGCCTCATTTTAAGTGGAGAAAATGGATATTGCTGCGTCTTTGATAACAGGCTCTGGTCCTGAATTTATCCCGAAATGTCTCTTAAAGCAGAAATAAAACTGTTCTGATCTGTGGAAGTATTTGCTTAGGAACAGTGGAACTCAGAGGACTACTCATGGTGATATTCAAGCATGGCAAGATGAAGACGACGAGTGTTGGGAACACCTCTCTGGCCCTAATTTTGCCTCCCAGGCACCTAAGTATGGATATATAGAGCAAGATGCTGTGACTGCATGACATAACGGTATATTTTCCATGGTATCACAGCCTCGTTTGGTGCCAAGTTTGATTGAAGCCCATCAACAAGCATCTGTTCCTCTGGGTAGGAGAAGATGGAGCCTGTGCTGCTTGCACTGCTTCAAGCCCTGCTGGGAAATTCCCCCTGGGCTTACTGGTACCACTCAGCCGTGCTGTCGCTAGATGCCTCCAAGACATGAATTATTTTCTCAGTGCATCTGTGAGAAGAAGAGATGATTTTATCACTGTTGGCCAAGAGGAAGATGAGTCATGGAGAAATGAAGGAGTGCTCCTGGAAATGGTTTCCTGTGTGGACCTCGTTCTCCTGTGTTTCCCTGAGCACCAAACTGATCTCAGTCACCTTGAACTGATCTCGTGCTGAAGCTAGAGCTTTTCCTGGGAACTATCTGAGAAACATTGAACTTGCTGGAGCTGAAGCAAATCTCTACCATAACTTCTTGGGGGAGACTTTGTGTGTCACGTTGTTCTGCTTGTGCTGATGGACGGTTTTTGGGACCCATTGTGATCCGTTTGGAAAGCTCATTTAGTGGTCAAGTATGCTGAAGACTGAGATTGCGCTGCCCTGGCTGGGGCTTCTCCTCGTTCCTATGTTCTTTGCAGCCTTCCAATGCACAGAGAGTTGGGTTGTTTTTTTTTTTAATGGTAAAAATGGGGTTTTTTTTGCTTAACTTTGTGCAAGAATAAAATCCTCAGTTGGGAATACGGCCTTGGTGCGTGAGCTGCTGTTTGTGCAAGTCCTGTACATCCATTGATGGAGAGGCCATGTCCTTCCCTTGGAAGGCATCACCCTTTCCCCATCCAGTGGATAGAGGTTTGCGTTTCGGAGGTTTTGAAGTGACAAGCTCTGTAGCAGACTTGCTGGTTGTTACAATTTTTGATGTCTCAAGTTTAGGTCTCGTAGTGATGTTCCCTTTCAGTGGGCGAAGCTGATAGCCTGGCAAAACCAAAATGCTGGTGGTGTCAGGGCACGTTCCTCTGCTTCCCTGCCCATCCCCTCTCTCCTTGCAGTGCGTGACGTGCGGGAAGGGGTTCAAGAAGCTCTGGTCCCTCCATGAGCACAACAAGATCGTCCATGGCTACGCTGAGAAGAAGTTCTCCTGTGAGATCTGCGAGAAGAAGTTCTACACCATGGCCCACGTGCGCAAACACATGGTTGGTGAGTGCGGGAGGCGCTCGTGCCATGGGGGAGGTCTTGTTAGGGGGGTTCCTCCATCCTTTTGGCCATGAAGGGTGATTTTTTTTTGTCAATGTTGTGTTGAGAGTTTAAGGTTGGACTTAGTCTTGAGTGAGTATCAACCAGAGGGCTTGAAATTTGGCCCAGTATTTAATGCTGAATGTATTCAATCTTCCCACTGGCAATTGTTCTCCCAGTGTATGTCTGCCCAGTGCTGGGTTTGGAGCACTAAGGCATGGTGCTGGGGAAGCTCATTTGTTTTATTTAACAAGGAAAAAAGAGCCTTCAGAAGTGATCAAAGAAGGGTTTGAAGTGTAACCATCCTTCCTTGGTAAAAGACGACCAGACTGCACGAGCGCCAGTCTTTGAAAAGCAAATTGCAGATGGCAACAGCAGTTGAATCCCTGGGGCTTGCAGGCACCAAAGAGATCCAAAAAAAAGGAGGATTTGGCAGGCAATTAGGAAAGTACCTGCTACATTGCTGCTGCACATCCTCCCGAGATGGCTTTGGGTTTGCCGGGGCTGGGAGCGGCAGCTGGGACGTGGGGAGATGGGTGCTCAGGAGGCGGGGAGGGCACCTGACCCACCCCTCTCCACTGCAGCTCACACCAAGGACATGCCATTCACCTGCGAGACCTGCGGGAAGTCCTTCAAGCGCAGCATGTCCCTCAAGGTCCATTCGCTCCAGCACTCCGGGGAAAAGCCTTTTAAATGTGAGGTAAGGTCCTGTGCGTCCCCCTCCACCCTGTGTCCTCTCAAATGGGCACAAAAACACTGATCTGGGGAAAGATCTTCCACTTCTTGGGGCTTCCCCTGGGCTTTTTGCCAGCGCAGCTGTAGGGATACTCCTCCCTCTCCCAAACTTTGCGTCCCTTCCTGGTTTGAGGGTTCCACCAACCCTATGATTGGACCTTGCATCCCAAACCCAGCGCCTGGACCTTGCATCCCACCCCAAGCCCATCCAGCCTGCGAACTTGGCTGGCTATGTCCCAAAAAGCCATTTATTTGGGTTCTTTTGAGGAGGGGGAAAAGTGATTTCTGCGCTGCTCCGACATGCTGGTGACTGGGGGG